AGAACATGTGCCGTTTCAGAGGTTTGAGTCTCAATGTAATCATAAACAATCTAACGCAAACTGACATGCTGAAAAAATGGCCCCCGAAATTCGGTGGCTTCCGTCGGACAAGAACGGGTCAAAACCCACCAAAATTTACGGACGGCCCATCATAATTTATACTTCCATACGACGGGCTGCAGGCACGAAACAAGAGCCCATCCTTCAACTTTGCTCGGGGAGGAGGAGGAGGGACAGTAGGTGGGTCATCGTATTAGAGGCAGGTCAAACAACTTGTAAAAAAAGGCTGCGCCATTAATCAGTCGCATTTACGGCGCGATAGCCAGGCTTGCGGAACTTACGGAGCAGCAGATGTGTCTACTCGAGAAAAGGAGAAAATGGACGAAGAAAGCTTCGAGATGGATTTGGGGAGGAGAAGCGTATGGACCAACTAATATACGGTGAAAAAATGGCGACGAGTAGATTATGAATGGCGGGAGGGGAGAGGAAAGAGGTGTATTAACTAGGTATGTAATCTGCCTTGCTGAGGCAAAACGGCGTACGAGCATTCGGTCGTTGCTACATTTCCTTCGATAAGATGTGAATTCTCTTGAAATCTTGGAAGAATTTTATACTTTGAAATTTGCAGATGAGTTTCCACGTAGTTTTATCTAATGACTCTCAAGCGAGGCAAAATACTAATTCATAACTTTTCCAAAGAATACGAAATAGTAATAGCTAAGAACGTAGGTTAAAATGCTTAACTTGTATATAGAAATAAATATCTATAAATGTGAATGAAAATCTAAATATCGAGGACGTTTTAAGCCGTCACAGGCTCATTTTCAGCTGCGACAGCGATTTAAATCATTTAAAATTTGAACGGTGACCTAATTCCAGTTGTTATAACCCGACCGCAACGACACTACAGCTGGAGCCTAAAAGATAACCACTCACTTCTTTTTTTTTTTCGTTGTTTAAAACCAATTTTTACTGTTTTTACAGCTAATATTGAGCCCGTGCCGGCTCGAAACGTCCTATATTTCAGTGTTTTGTTTAAATAGCCCTCACTGGAAAAAAAAAAACACATTTGATCTGAAGTCCAGACTCTTAAAAACATCGACAAGAAAAAGCACTCTTGATTCAATCAGAATCTAGGTTAAATCAAGAACCAAGCCTCTTAATTTAAGCGGATTTCGTTTTGATCCAAGCAAAAATCCGATTGAATCAAGAGTATTTTTTCTTGTCAATGTTTTCAAGAGTCTGGACTCTAGATCCAATGTGTTTTTTTTCCAGTGTAGTTTTTACTCCTTCTTGTTCATTTTTCCAATTTTATCGGATCAAATTTGGCAAAATTCGAATGGAGATACGGCTTTCTTCCTAAGGATGGCAGTAATGATGATGAACGCGCGGCGAAAAGTCGGTGCCGAGGAACAAGATAAAAATCCGGAGCCAGCGTCAATCATAAAACGGGCGGGAGAGCTTAGTTTGGCGAGACATTAAAAATAAAAACAACATAAATAATGGCGGAGGGAAAATAAAGAATTACTATGTGTGCATGCGGAGGGGCCGGGAGTGACGTGTGACGTCACGCGGGGACGTGGGGCACGGACTCCCGCAGACGCACCATGCGGTCCGCGGCCCGGGGCCCGGCCTGAAAGCGATCCGCAGATGTGTTCGCGATCCGTTTTGGCCCCCGACCAAAAGCGCGTCTGAATATTTTCAGCTGTTCGCTAAATTAGCTCGAAAAAAGACGAGAAAACGCAGCGGAACAAAGTTCAGCCGCCGCGCTGCACCGTTGCCGTTGTTACACCCCGGGATATCTGTCTGGACGCACTTGTTTTCCGATTAGGTCCCCTCATGGCAAAAGCAAGGCTTTTGTAAAAATGTTCCTGGCCTTGCCGTCGAGCAGAATTCTTTATTGAATCATGAAGAAAAGCGTCTTATAATAAACCAAAAAGGTCGCTTTTACGATATCAATCAGAAACCTGCTTGGCTCGCATTGGGAAAAAAAACACATTGGATCTAGAGTCCAGACTCTTGAAAACATTGACAAGAAAAAATACTCTCGATTCAATCAGATTCAAGCTTAAATCAACAGGAAATCCGCTCAAATTAAGAGGCTAGGTTCTTGATTTAAGCTTAAATCTGATTGAATCAAGAGTATTTTCCTTGTCGATGTTTTTAAGAGTCTGGACTCTAGATCCAGGGTTTTTTTTTTTTCTCCAATGTGAGTTATTTTATTCTTGATTCCAGAGGAAATCCTCCTGAGGAAGTCGCAAATATTTTTGCTTGAATCAAGTAACTTTTTTAGCATAGAAACTTGGAGATTTTTCTAGAAATGATTTATTTTTCCTTTGCTGATTTTCCTTTAGGATCTACCGCCTAGGGTTAACGCATGAAGTAAATTGTAGTGAGTACCTGAGAATTCTGTCAGTTGGGATTTTCTCGTCGCATAAAATAGAAAAGCCAGGGCTAACTTGATAGGTGGAGTAAAATCCCTACTCGCCAGCGGAAACTGTCACACGAAAACTAGTGGCTCTGTGAAGTTTCGCAAAATCGGAAAAAAGTAGAAATGATTTATCAGGACTAGTTTCCAAGTCTCAACTGAGTTGGATGGAAAGCAAGGCTGAGGAATATTTTGGCAACGCCTTTAGGCGGAGAATTTCGCCTCTCAGGAATGGTTCATTGAGTAAAGCTTGCTGTCGAGCTTTCTGCAAATAGTATTGTTGATGTGTGCGGACTAACATGTTCTTTGAAAAGATTTCGAATGGAAGCTAAAAATACAGCTCCACAATTTCCCGCGTCATCTCATCTTAACAGTCTCGCTTGAGTATAAGCTTACACTTAATTCGGCGGAATTTTTATATCTTCAAATGATAAATTATCTACTTTTGAATTCTTGTGCGAAAATGAATTGAAGCCAGCCAAGAGGATGGTCACCTCTGGTGTAAATATGGGCCCATTAGTTAGTAGTTCACAGACACTTCACTTCGCATCAGACTAGGGATTAAGGATTAGGTGTTCAGAAATTGTACGGAGCGAAAGTTAGCCGCAACTTTAGGTTTTAGATTTATACCTCACTCCACGAAAATGCCAAAATTCGCGCTGAACCTATGTCATTCCAATGGCAAGTGCAAATTTTGGTACATTTTTCTCTATTTTTCTCCTCTCTTAAACGGAAAAAAAGTTTTTATCGAAAATTTGCTCCCGGGCTCACAGATTCTCCTCCTTACAATTAAGCCGCAGCTCGCGGGCCCAAATTTTCTGCAACCCTAACCAAACTGTATAATATTTATCTTTCAAAAGCAAATGGATAATGAAAAAGCATACATAAAAATACATGGCATAAATGAATAAAATCATGCGTGTTAGAGACCGGAGTGAAAAAGTATTTCTCAAAGCCTCACCGCCCACCAAAAATTCACGATAATCAGGCTAACGGATACCCCGATACCCCATCCACCGTAAGACACGCAAGAGTCACCGTAAGACACGCAAGAGACGCCTTAAAATTCGAAGTTTATGCTTGCACTCATAACGAACCAAAACAGGTTTCTAAATTGGGCTCCGGAGAGGAGACCGAAATGGTGAAAACGCGTACTTAACGGAAAACAATTATCTCACATCCATAAAAGCGAATCTTCGATTTCGCAACGGAATTGTGATTGGCCCCGGGGAGCGGATCTGGGATCAGCGCAGCCTCCTCCTGCGGAAGGAGTTCAGGTTAACGGTGAAACACGGTGAGACAGAGCGTCATTTCGTGTTCCACGCAACTGATTACAAAGCTATAAACGCGATTAATTGGTCACTGGGTTCCTAATTTAGAGAAATCGCCGAACCGGGTTTATCACTTCACCGACTGAAAACCGCAATCATTTTCGCGCTCAACGCCTTTCGAGTCGCGACCCGAGCCCTCACTGGGTTAAAACTTGTTCCAGATTATCTTCGCCGATTATCTTCGACGAATTCTCACCCGAGAACGCTAAAGTCTACTTAATTTTATTTTATTTATTTATTTTCCGTCGAGCTTTTTTTTCTCAAAGTTACTTTTTGCGCAACCGGGCAGGACAGCCCCCTCAGAAAAACACGTCCTCGTTTTTACATACTCGGTTAATGCCATAAAATACCCTAAAAATAACCGTAATCTACTTCAATTTGTAAGTGTTACGCAAGGAAAATAAAAATTAAAAGGTGGAGAAGTTTGGTAACTTTAAGTCATTGGTGAAAGAACTATAAATTAGATTTGATCCAAATTATTCTTCCTGTTTGAGTATCGCATCCTGGGGGACGGTAACCACCAAGGCCTAATCCCAAAAACTCCCCCAAAAAGCGGAAGGTGAGAAGTGGCTGCTGAGTAAGCGTAACTAAATGTACATCTCAATTCGTCGCTCCTCTGACGTAAGGGCGTAATTTAATTTCCACGTGAGCCCTGTTTTACATACAAATCTATCCTTTCTAGGGCTCATGTGAAAATCGAGTTACGCCCTTACGTCCGAGAAGTGACGAATTGGGCTCGCGTGCATCTTTCCAACCCTACCTAAGCAGTTTAAGATAAACCTGGACATGTTCTCTCCTTTTTTTTTTGTAATTTTAAGAAACTGTCGACTCTACTGACAGCTTTTGAACTGACCTTTGGCACCGGTCATAAAACTCTATTCAATTCGTTTGTAAGCTCCAGCCTCAGTTTTTAAGTCGATTCACTTCCTTTCCTTGCGATGTTCCACACTGCTCGCTCGACGGATGATCCGCCGAAAAATTTCCGGCCCGGTGTTTTTTGTTTATCCGCGTTTCCAAATTTTCGTTGGGCAACGTAGCGCTCGCAGCTTCTGCTTTGCGCAACGGCGCTGCCTAAATCCAAGTTGAAATGTTCTTCGTCGAGACCTAACATGTCCATTTCCTGATGAGTTGAGCCCCATAAGAACGCTTGTATCCCACGGCTCATCGGATAATCGACTTGTTCGGTTTTGTCTCCACGCTCGAGCGATTTCTGATCGGGTTTTCGTTCCGTGTTTTTCCAGATGACTCAGTGGTGCGGGAGCGCAGGTGCACGCTCGGTCCAGCCCCAGCCCTCCTTTTGACGCAACCCGAGAGAGGACCGCTCGTACCTGCTCCACCATGCTCGCCCCTCAAGCCACCCTCACCTGTTGTCTCCAGCTGTTGCTCACCGCCCTCGCGCACACCGCCGCCTGGGTCCACAACGTCAGCCCCAAAGTCGTCTTCAAGCATGGTGAGTACCCCCTTTCTTCTCCTCCTCCTCCTCCCCTGCGTTTTTTGACAACTTGGTCCCCCCGGTGTCCTCTCCGTTCGATTGGATGACTTCGTCGCCTTCCTTATGCCGAGGCCGCGGGAACCGAATCCGGGGACTGGATGTGAGCACGTTCTGCACGTGTCACGCACTCCTGTTTCGCGGTGTCTCTTCCCGTGGCCTCTTTTTCGAGGGCGTTTAGTTGGGAGGAGCCGAGTTGTTTAGCACAACAGCAGTATGTGATTGAACTGTTCAGTGGAGTTACGTGGAGGGGCGCAGAAAGTGCCTGGTCCACATTATTAACCAGAGTAAACGATTATTTTTCCTGTCGGGCAGTTGGGCGAAAAAAGTGAGAATCTCCGACAAAGCTGGACTTTTCCACTGCCAAGACACTGAACCAAAATTTCTGAAAAAGCAAGTCAAAAGGGCTCCTTCGTTTTTCCCCGTTCTCATGGAGTTTCCTGCATTTCATGGGACTGGAAGTTTTTGCACCCCTCACCGCATGTGGAACGTGGGTTTTCAGTGTTGAATTCAGTCTATTTATTTATTCCAAGGCACAGAACCCTTTGAAAAAGATAAAGAACTTTAAAAAGAAGCTAAGAAACTCAGAGATCTGTATAAATACAAATAAATTAGAAGTTTTTTTTTCTTCTTTTTTTGCTAGATTTGCTGCTTTTTACTATCATCACGTAAACCAATACATAAATTATTCTAAGGACCCCTGTGTACTGGCTCTATGGCCCACTTTTTTTAGGAATGCAGGTCTCTCACCGTTTGTCACGGGCCATCTCTATTGGTGGCTAGATGGACCTAGTCCCATTGATGTTTTCGAGTCAAGACGATGGTCATCAAAGCGGCATCCTAACGCGAATGGAGACAAAAACAGCAGACTCAAGAAAGTTTGTCAACGAAGTTCGTGGACTGTTTCGATAACTGACCCGGGTGCCAGCATTGCCACTTTTACCAGTACAACTCGGTCTTATCTTTGTAAATTCACCACATTTACTCGCGAGATGACAACCTCGCCCTAGTCGGGCACGACAACCCCACCGATGCGGTTTTTAGTAAGGTCTCTGACTCCCCTCTCGAAGAGAAGAAGAAAAAACCCTAACCTCACCAAGTTTTCCACTTGACTAATCCCGGCTCGGAAAAGGACGCTTTTGTGGATCCATATCTTGCCAGGGAAGAACGTCGTATGTACATTCGAATGTTGCCAAGTTTTCCTTGATAAAATAGTTTTCACGTATTATATGCCACATTAGGGACCGTCCATAATACTAATTTATAATATCCATAATAAGTAGTAGTCAGCTATTAATTACGTAATGAATTTTTTTGGGCATTATTACCCCCCCTCTCCCCCTTGTAGCGTTTCTGTGACGTAGATCCCTGTCCTTTAACACATAAAAACAAAATGGCATAACGCCCTCCTCGCCCCCTCCCCCACTTTAGATTGTTACATAATTTAATGCACTTTTTTGGCATTTTTGGCCCCCCCCCCCTCTTTCTTGTAACGTTTTTGTCGCGTGGATCCCTAGTCTTTAACACGTAAAAACAAAATGGCGTAACGCTCTCCTGGACTCCCTTACCCGACCCTTTGAACTTTACGTAATATGGACGGCCCCATAGACTGTGAAAATTTTGAGAAGGTAAAGTCATGTCACAATTTTTCTGGGAATTTTGTCCCCCCGCCCCCTTAGAACTTTCCGTAATATGGACGGCCCCATAGACTGTGAAAATTTTGAGAAGGTAAAGTCACAATTTCTCTGGGAATTTCGTCCCCCCGCCCCCTTAGAACTTTCCGTAATATGGACGGCCCCATAGACTGTGAAAATTTTGAGAAGGTAAAGTCACAATTTTTCTGGGAATTTTGTCCCCCCGCCCCCTTAGAAATTTACGTAATATGGACAGCCTCATCAACCATGAAAATTTCGAGGAGGAAAAGTTACACCTTCTCCGGGAAATTCGTATGTTTTCGAAGAAATTTGGCAACGCCGAATGGTTCATAATACTTTTTCCCCTTTGGACAGTCCGGTGGTATTGTCCGCGCCCAAGTTTTCCTGAGGATATAGCGGTCGGCGGCCCCTCCCCTCGCGGTTTCGGGACGAAAATCAAAGCTCCGTGTGAACGGACGTGGCACCTCGGCGTCCGGTGTTTCCTGCTTTTTATCGTTATTGTTTTTCCGCGGAGCCGAGGAGCACCCCGTCAAGCGTGACGTAACGCCGCCCCCGTCCGCGTCCACATCCCCGTTTTTACGCCGTTGGACGGTGTGGGCGTGCGTCCCTCGTTTTCGGGATGACCGGCGAGGTGACCGGCCGGGTCTCCGGAGATCGTTTCATGGTCAGTTTCCGCCAGGGCTGAAAGGACACCGCGTCTTCTTCTCGTCGCGCAACGGCTCCCTGAGGCTGGATTGTTGAATCGATGTTGAATGACCTCGATCGATTGCATCGAAAGAGCATTGCCAGTATAGGGTTTTTTATCGATCAGGATCGTTCGATATCGATTCAAAAATCGACCCGCTCCTGATTGTATAGTTGCAAGCTCCCAATAATGGATGCACTCAACTTGATGTGTACGGGAATTTATAATCCTTGCGGTGACTTGTATAGCGTAGTCCAAACTTCAGGAAAACATGACGTACCGACCGAACGAATTTTGGTCCATTTGAGAAATAAGGAGGAAAATTTTGGTTAGCAACAATTGTTCAAGCGCTCGGGTTTGTGAACCAAGAAGTTGGTGTGGCTAAAACTCTTCCTCCGACATTCAGGCCTTTCGCTCCTAAACCAAAAGTGCAGCGTCGTATAGAACATTCTATGTGCCATGTGGCTTATAATTGAAGTTTGTAGACCTGATGCGTTTTTTAGAGGAAGGATGCAAGAAAAAAGTTAACTTCTAAGATTTTAAAAGGCTTCATTGGAATATTTTTTGTGTGTGAACACTGCCCGCCCCAACAAAATCCAGCAAAACCGTAAAATGTGAGAATTTCTTTGCTTTGGTGACAGTTGATTTTCCTTTTCCACTAAGCTAACCTAACACAACTAAAGAAGATCGCTTAAAGAAAGCTGTTATTTTAATTGGAATTTAGTATACAGATTAACTTCCTCGTTGTGTATTAGCTGTAGATTAGACATTTTTGCACCGCAGAAAAAAGTCTGATCAACTGCTAAGCGTAATAAGATTCCCAGCAATTTTGTGATTATTTTTATATTTTCCTCAAGTTTCTGCAACCCCACATTTTCACAGCACTGACAAATCGGTTTTTCAAAGAGCTGAGCCTCGTGTTTACCTGTAACTCCACCCGATATTCGATAGTGTCAGCCGAAAAAAAACCGCCGTATCACTCTCAGGACACTATACATGCTGGATACGGGTTTTTTGCGGAAGCGGGTAAATTGCGAGCTCCTTGTCGGCGGTTTTTCTATCGGGCCGTCAGCAAAGGGTCACTCTGAAACGAAGAATATAAGTCCGGCGCAAGCTCAATCGACGCTGACTAATACAGATCTCTCCTATTAAAATACCAATTACTCATTTCCGCACACCGCACTGCCATCGCAACATGCACCCGGTATCGCCTCGGGACAGTAATTATCTGGATCGGCAGATTTCCCCCACGGGGTTAATTAGTCCTCGTTGCCATCCTCCTCCTCTCCAGGTTTTAAATTACTGATAGAAGATATCATAGCGGGTTGAGATCGCGAAATTTCGGCGTTACTTTTCATTCCTGTGCATCGAAGCACTCTATTCTCAAAGCAACTCGGATCCTCTTATTTAATTTTTTTTCTTTCTCAAAAACTCGGAATTGTTTTGCAAGCGAGGCCTGTACGCTGGAAAAAAGTCTAACGGATCCAGAGTTCAGACTTCCAAAAAATTCGAGGAGAAAAAGATACTCTTCTTTGATTCGGATTTTTGCGTGAATCCTAACTTGGGTAAAAAGTCAGGCAAGTGTTGGGTGAATTATCTACTGATTACTGATCGTGTATACTGATTTAAGCAACAAATGAATCAACATATAAAAAATTGCTGCTCATTTTAAAATAAATGACGTCATAGGACTTTCTTACGTGCATCCAAAGGATTTTGTACCGCAAATAGTGGCCTTCAGAATACCCTTTTAAGGTACTTCATAATGCTTTAAGTAATTATTTCGAAGCGTAGCCAATCATTTTTCATTACTTTGTTTTCCCCTCAAACTTTTAACAACCCCAAAACGGATTTTTCCTCCTTAGTAGCAATACAATAATCTTGTAAAACTTACTTTGCACTTGTGCCGACAAAAGCTTCCTCAAGTTTATCCTGCTTAACATTATTCATTTTTCCACCTGCCATCGCGAGGCATCGTCCGTAATGCTCCTGGCATACGACGACCTTAGCGATGCAAGTACAACGTTGCAACGAAGCGCAACCGCTGAAAGCCAAATCGATGTATTCCGATGATCTAGGATAGTAAACCACGATCATTTCGAGTCTCGATTGAACCATCGATTCTCAATTAAATCCCATGTAAAGTATCGATTCTCGAGGGTGCAGCATCGATGCAAGGATCCTCCCGCGGACGTCGAGGAATCATAAATGCTAATCAGCGATCATGCGCGGATCCCAAGCCCTAGCGTACAATTTTCTTGCCTTGACATGCTCGTGTGTAGAGGCATCAGGCAAATTAGTTCCACGTACCGAAGGACGCGCTGCAGCGGCTCCCGCACGGCGCGGCGCGCCTCAGGCCTCAGGCAAAAGCCCGCGTTGATCGATCAGGCAAAAATCGACTTGGTCGCTGCACAATTCTGCCGTGCTGAGGATGAACGCCGCACTGAAAAAAAATCTCGGTGTATTTACTAAGAAAGGGGTAAAATTGCCAAGAATTCAGGGTTCTATTTGATCCCAGTTTTCTCTTAGTAAAATTACCATTTATGGAATTGGTAATTTTACCGAGAAATCTCGGTAAAATTATTGAACTTTCTCGGTAATTTTACTGGACCTTGGTAAAA